TGGTAGGCCTTGGAAGGCCTTGGAAGGCCTTGTTTGGTAGGCCTTGTTTGGTAGGCCTTGGAAGGCCTTGTTTGGTAGGCCTTGGAAGGCCTTGTTTGGTAGGCCTTGGAAGGCCTTGTTTGGTAGGGTATTGTAAATCCTTGCTATCACTGTGTTTAGAATGTTCTCTTGCTGGTCGGATTCCTCTGCTAATTGTTTTGCTTCAAAGCTCCATTGTAGCTGTAACAACAGAGCTTCATTACCTCCAGCTTTGTTCACTCTATCTTTCCTTATTATTTGGGATCCTCGTGGGGAGATTGCATTTTCTATAACACAAGTATGTTTCGTGTCCAATATTGCGATCAATGGGAGTTGTACTTCTGCCACTCTATCCTGTAACTCTGCTCCTTTAACTGTAATTTCATCTGTATTTCTCTACAAATACAGATGAAATTACTGCTACTCGTCTCATTCAGGATCATTTTGTTTTCCCTGAATGATAGTGTTCATATGTGTTCCTTGTCTGACAGCGGGAGGAGGTATGATGAACATAATAGTATAAGAATGAAGGTAACTGCAGAAGGCTTTTTGGCCCATACGAGACAGCTCCTATTTGTATCCAGCCAATCTCATTCATATATATATGTCTAACCTACGCATGAAACAATTAAGGGATCCTACTTCTATTATGTTACATGGTAATTGGTTCTGCAAACCAACAACTCTGTTACCGAACAAGTATTTACCCAGGTCTTTCCTAAATCTAAACTTATTCAATTTATACCGCTTGTTTCGGGTTCTATTTTGTGTTTATAATTTTAATACCCAATTAATATCCCCCTTTGTTATGCCCATTCATCCACCTGTACATCTCTATCATGTCACCCCCAATTCTTCGCCTGTTTTGAGAATGTAATTTAAGCTTTACTTTTCTCGTCCAACTCCTTCTTGAGTGGTTCATTTCCGTTGGCACATTTCCCAGCAGAGAATTCCATCATCTCATTGGCTGTCTTCTCTATTATTTCTCTGTCTCATTGTTTTCCTGCTGAAAGTCTCGCTTTCTTCATATCTTTCTTCATATTTAGTTAAGGTTAAGCTTTCTTCATATTCCACAGCCCCGCTCCTGTGCCAGGTAAGTCCACTATGGGCTCACCATAGCCCGTGCTACTTGCCCCGCTCCTGTGCCAGGTAAGTCCACTACGGGCTCACCATAGCCCATGCTACTTGGAACTTTTTCTTCCGAGTTGCTGAATCTTAAACAACATTTCTGCATATGTCAGGTTTCTAATTTGCGGGATTAACTTTGTCATCCTACGCTGGACACGTTCTAGTGAATTTATATCCATTCTATAGTACGGCGACCAAACCTGAACTGCATAATCTAAATGGGGCCTAACCAGAGCAAGATATAGCTGAAGAACAATACCAGGTGTCTTGTTACTAACGCTTCGGCAAATAAATCTGAGTGTCCTATTCGTCTTATTTCGAACATTTATGTACTGATTTCTTGGCTTTAAATTCTTACTAATCATAACTCTCAGATCCCTTTCGCAATCCGACTTCGCAATCTCTACACCATCCAGCTCGAATGTTGTAACTCTATCATCATTACCTAGCCTCAAAACCTTACACTTGTCAGCATTAAACTACATCTGCCAATCTTTTGACCATTTCAAAACACTATTTAGATCGTGTTGAAGTGATAGTGAGTCTTCTTCCCTGTTTATTATCCTCCTGATTTATTGCAACCACCAAGTCTAGATATGAGATACTAATCGGGGACATTTATGCCATAGACGAGTCGCTGACATTGTTGGCAGAGATGAATACTAATGTTCGCTTGAGACGGTTAAGCAAGTCTCAGCTGTGTCTGGGTACAGGTGACAGGATGAACAACCCAGCGGAGTTTCTTCCTATTGAGGGAGTGCTGCTATGGCGGTGTGTCCACTCACAGGATGAGTGGCGCTGCCCAATACTGTCACTATGGCGGTGTGTCCACTCACAGGATGAGTGGCGCTGCCCAATACTGTCACTATGGCGGTGTGTCCACTCACAGGATGAGTGGCGCTGCCCAATAAACTCGCCCATCGAGCCTAAAATGTAAACAAAATTAATTACCAATATTGCCTCTTAACACAAATCTTCCCGCCTCTCTTTCTACTCCTCTCTACACCCACTCCTCGAGTCCCTCTACCTCCTTCACTTCATCAATAACAGCTACAGTCTGCACCTAATTTGATGCCTCTCAAAGGTCAGGTAGACAGCTTGGATAATAAGATAATTAACGGTGCTGTTTAGACAGAATAATTGACTTCTAACTATTTTAGAAACTGGTGACCTCGCCTGGTAAGAGGTTGTTGAAGGCACGGAAGATATAGTTTACCGTTGGAAAGAAATAATGAACGGCGAAAAAGAGACAGGTGTTTGTGTGGTAGACAGGAGGAGGCGGAGGTATACAGCCCGCCCATTAGTAGCTATACCTTCTTTGGTGTTGGAGGTAGCTTATTCCGTCACTTGGTAGCTTATTGCATCACCAGGTAGCTTATTGCATCACCAGGTAGCTTATTCCGTCATCAGGTAGCTTATTGCATCACTTGGTAGCTTATTGCATCACCTGGTAGCTTATTGCATTACCAGGTAGCTTATTCCGTCATCAGGTAGCTTATTGCATCACCTGGTAGCTTATTGCATCACCAGGTAGCTTATTGCGTCATCAGGTAGCTTATTGCATCACCTGGTAGCTTATTGCATCACCAGGTAGCTTATTGCGTCATCAGGTAGCTTATTGCATCACCTGGTAGCTTATTGCATCACCAGGTAGCTTATTGCGTCATCAGGTAGCTTATTGCATCACTTGGTAGCTTATTGCATCACCTGGTAGCTTATTGCATCACCTGGTAGCTTATTGCGTCACTTGGTAGCTTATTGCATCACCTGGTAGCTTATTGCGTCACTTGGTAGCTTATTGCATCACCTGGTAGCTTATTGCGTCACTTGGTAGCTTATTGCATCACCTGGTAGCTTATTGCATCACCTGGTAGCTTATTGCGTCACTTGGTAGCTTATTGCATCACCTGGTAGCTTATTGCGTCACTTGGTAGCTTATTGCATCACCTGGTAACTTATTGCATCACCTGGAAGCTTATTGCATCACCTGGAAGCTTATTGCATCACCTGGTAGCTTATTGAGTCACTTGGTAGCTTATTGCATCACCTGGTAGCTTATTGCGTCACTTGGTAGCTTATTGCATCACCTGGTAGCTTATTGCATCACCTGGTAGCTTATTGCATCACCTGGTAGCTTATTGCGTCACCTGGTAGCTTATTGCGTCACTTGGTAGCTTCTTGCATTACCAGGCAGCTTTTTGCGTCACCAGGTAGCTTCTTGCATTACCAGGTAGCTTATTGCGTCACTTGGTAGCTTATTGCGTCACCTGGTAGCTTATTGCATCACCTGGTACCTTCTTCCATCGCCAGGTAGCTTCTTGCGTCACCAGGTAGATTCTTGTGCCACTACATAGCTTCTTGCGTCACCATGTAGCGTCTTGCGTCATCATGTTGCTTTTTCCCGTCACCATGTAGCTTCAAGCATTATCAATGCAGAACTGTGTCTCACATGCCCGTTCTGAATCATTAATTGCCTGTTCCAGCGACCCTGAAGTTCATCCCCCTCCTTCCACTTGGTGGTACTTTGGTTGTTTACACTTGTAAAACACACTTGCTTGATCTATCTTTGCGATAATTGTTGCAGCACGACGGGGTTCGAACCAACAACATGGGTTGGGGTAATTAGTTGAAGAACATTTGAAGTCTTACTTTGCTTCCTGTATTCAACCTTGAAGGGGCCTCGTAGCCTGGTGGATAGCGCGCAGGACTCGTAATTCTGTGGCGCGGGTTCGATTCCCGCACGAGGCAGAAACAAATGGGCAAAGTTTCTTTCACCCTGAATGCCCCTGTTACCTAGCAGTAAATAGGTACCTGGGAGTTAGTCAGCTGTCACGGGCTGCTTCCTGGGGATGGAGGCCTGGTCGAGGACCGGGCCGCGGGGACACTAAAGCCCCGAAATCATCTCAAGATAACCTCAAGATAACCCGTCCACCTAATAGAGCGACGGATTTTGACGTACACTCTACTTAAGGCAGAAAAATCGTCGTACTAGAAAATGGTTGCGGCTTGCTAAATTGATATTTTGTCCCGTTTTCTGTTTTGGGTCCTCTGGTAGGGTAAGATAAGGGCATGTTGACCAGACCACACACTAGAAGTTGAAGGGACGACGACGTTTCGGTCCGTCCTGGACCATTCTCAAGTCAATCGACTTGAGAATGGTCCAGGACGGACCGAAACGTCGTCGTCCCTTCAACTTCTAGTGTGTGGTCTGGTCAACATACTTCAGCCACGTTATTGTGACTCATCACCTGCATAAGATAAGGGCACTTCAGTAGGACAGCTTCTTGACGTTGAGAAACCTTAGAAGGACGGGCTGGGGTATTAAGGGTTCCAAAAATAAACCAATTCAACTAACCAAGTGTGTGACTGGACTTTGTATATGTGTGATGGCATGTTGTAAGGTCGTGTGTGTGTGTGTGACTGGACTTTGTATATGTGTGATGGCATGTTGTAAGGTCGTGTGTGTGTGTGACTTGTGTACATCATGAACCACAGAGCGAGTCACTCACATAACTTACATTTTGTAAAAAAATGATGTTTTCACAATTACAAATATGACTTGTATGTTCACAACACAATCCCCACGGTCGGCCGAGCGGACAGCACGCTGGACTTGTGATCCTGTGGTCCTGGGTTCGATCCCAGGCGCCGGCGAGAAACAATGGGCAGAGTTTCTTTCACCCTATGCCCCTGTTACCTAGCAGTAAAATAGGTACCTGGGTGTTAGTCAGCTGTCACGGGCTGTTTCCTGGGGGTGGAGGCCTGGTCGAGGACCGGGCCGCGGGGACACTAAAGCCCCGAAATCATCTCAAGATAACCTCAAGATAACCCACAACTTGCTTGTTTTTTCCCAGGTATTTGACCACCACCACCACAATGCCAGAATACAAACTGATCTACTTCAACGCCGCGGGCCGCGCTGAGCTGATCCGTTGGATCTTCGCCTACAGTGGCATCCCCTACACTGATGAACGCATCGAGAAGGCAGACTGGCCGTCCCGTAAACCTAGTGAGTGTTGTACTGTCCAATGTCAACACATTGATGAAGATTAAGCCACCCAAGAGGTGGTACGGGCATGAATAGTCCGTAATTTGTCAACAGTGAAGGTATTCCCAGAATATGGAGAGAAGGTGAAGGCAGTGACTACCTGCATGCTGGGTTGGGTCTTTCACTTACGGGCTATTCATGCCCGTGTCACTTCTTGGGTGGCTTAATCTTCATCAATCTTCCACTCATTCTGCACCAGTGTTGCCACTTTGGGTGTTTTACATCGTAGATCTAGAGGATTTTAGTTACGTCTGCATGCCAGAAAATGTTTTTCAAATGTTAAATGTAAATGTAAATAGTATTGATAGTCTCGGAGGTTCTTACGTGATTTGACAAAATTTGTACCAGAACAGATGTTTGCAAGTCTCCGAACATGTTATGGTACGTTTATCTTTTATTTTCACTGATTGATGTGTTTTTGGTCTATAAGGCCTTACTGCACACGAGGACAGTCAATACACACGAGGAGTACATCCAGTAGAGCCAATGACTGTGGCGATTGTGCAGCACTGAGAGTTTTTAAGGAATGGATTACATTAAAAACGTTTTTTACATTAACTGATAATAGTGCCTTGTTGCTATAGCATATTGTATTGGATATTATTAATATTTTGAAGTAAGTAATGGTAATGTCTTCTCACAGACATAGTAATGTCTCCTCACAGACATAGTAATGTCTTCTCACAGACATAGTAATGTCTTCTCACAGACATGGTAATGTCTTCTCACAGACATAGTAATGTCTTCTCACACACATAGTAATGTCTTCTCACAGACATAATAATGTCTTCTCACAGACATAGTAATGTCTTCTCACACACATAGTAATGTCTTCTCACAGACATAATAATGTCTTCTCACAGACATAGTAATGTCTTCTCACAGACATGGTAATGTCTTCTCACACACATAGTAATGTCTTCTCACAGACATAATGTCTTCTCACAGACATAGTAATGTCTTCTCACACACATAGTAATGTCTTCTCACAGACATGGTAATGTCTTCTCACAGACATAGTAATGTCTTCTCACAGATATAGTAATGTCATCTCACAGACATGGTAATGTCTTCTCACAGATATGGTAATGTCTTCTCACAGACATGGTAATGTCTTCTCACAGACATGGTAATGTCTTCTCACAGACATAGTAATGTCTTCTCACAGACATAGTAATGTCTTCTCACACACATAGTAATGTCTCCTCACAGACATGGTAATGTCTTCTCACAGACATAGTAATGTCTTCTCACAGTCATAGTAATGTCTTCTCACAGACATAGTAATGTCTTCTCACAGACATGGTAATGTCTTCTCACAGACATAATAATGTCTTCTCACAGACATAATAATGTCTACTCACAGACACAGTAATGTCTTCTCACAGACATAATAATGTCTTCTCACAGACATAATAATGTCTTCTCACAGACACAGTAATGTCTTCTCACAGACATAGTAATGTCTTCTCACAGACATGGTAATGTCTTCTCACAGACATGGTAATGTCTTCTCACAGACATAGTAATGTCTTCTCACAGACATAGTAATGTCTCCTCACAGACATGGTAATGTCTTCTCACAGACATGGTAATGTCTTCTCACAGACATAATAATGTCTACTCACAGACACAGTAATGTCTTCTCACAGACATAATAATGTCTTCTCACAGACACAGTAATGTCTTCTCACAGACATAGTAATGTCTTCTCACAGACATGGTAATGTCTTCTCACAGACATAGTAATGTCTTCTCACAGACATAGTAATGTCTTCTCACAGACATAGTAATGTCTTCTCACAGACATAGTAATGTCTTCTCACAGACATAGTAATGTCTTCTCACAGACATAGTAATGTCTTCTCACAGACATAGTAATGTCTTCTCACAGACATGGTAATGTCTTCTCACAGACATAGTAATGTCTTCTCACAGACACAGTAATGTCTTCTCACAGACACAGTAATGTCTTCTCACAGACATAGTAATGTCTTCTCACAGACACAGTAATGTCTTCTCACAGACACAGTAATGTCTTCTCACAGACATGGTAATGTCTTCTCACAGACATAGTAATGTCTTCTCACAGACACAGTAATGTCTTCTCACAGACATAATAATGTCTTCTCACAGACATGGTAATGTCTTCTCACAGACACAGTAATGTCTTCTCACAGACACAGTAATGTCTTCTCACAGACATGGTAATGTCTTCTCACAGACATAGTAATGTCTTCTCACAGACACAGTAATGTCTTCTCACAGACATAATAATGTCTTCTCACAGACATGGTAATGTCTTCTCACAGACACAGTAATGTCTTCTCACAGACACAGTAATGTCTTCTCACAGACATGGTAATGTCTTCTCACAGACACAGTAATGTCTTCTCACAGACACAGTAATGTCTTCTCACAGACACAGTAATGTCTTCTCACAGACACAGTAATGTCTTCTCACAGACACAGTAATGTCTTCTCACAGACACAGTAATGTCTTCTCACAGACACAGTAATGTCTTCTCACAGACACAGTAATGTCTTCTCACAGACACAGTAATGTCTTCTCACAGACACAGTAATGTCTTCTCACAGACATAGTAATGTCTTCTCACAGACACAGTAATGTCTTCTCACAGACACAGTAATGTCTTCTCACAGACACAGTAATGTCTTCTCACAGACATAGTAATGTCTTCTCACAGACACAGTAATGTCTTCTCACAGACATAGTAATGTCTTCTCACAGACACAGTAATGTCTTCTCACAGACACAGTAATGTCTTCTCACAGACACAGTAATGTCTTCTCACAGACACAGTAATGTCTTCTCACAGACACAGTAATGTCTTCTCACAGACACAGTAATGTCTTCTCACAGACACAGTAATGTCTTCTCACAGACACAGTAATGTCTTCTCACAGACACAGTAATGTCTTCTCACAGACACAGTAATGTCTTCTCACAGACATAGTAATGTCTTCTCACAGACACAGTAATGTCTTCTCACAGACACAGTAATGTCTTCTCACAGACATAGTAATGTCTTCTCACAGACATAGTAATGTCTTCTCACAGACACAGTAATGTCTTCTCACAGACATAGTAATGTCTTCTCACAGACACAGTAATGTCTTCTCACAGACACAGTAATGTCTTCTCACAGACACAGTAATGTCTTCTCACAGACACAGTAATGTCTTCTCACAGACACAGTAATGTCTTCTCACAGACACAGTAATGTCTTCTCACAGACACAGTAATGTCTTCTCACAGACACAGTAATGTCTTCTCACAGACATAGTAATGTCTTCTCACAGACATAGTAATGTCTTCTCACAGACACAGTAATGTCTTCTCACAGACACAGTAATGTCTTCTCACAGACACAGTAATGTCTTCTCACAGACATAGTAATGTCTTCTCACAGACACAGTAATGTCTTCTCACAGACACAGTAATGTCTTCTCACAGACATGGTAATGTCTTCTCACAGACATGGTAATGTCTTCTCACAGACATGGTAATGTCTTCTCACAGACATAGTAATGTCTTCTCACAGACATAGTAATGTCTTCTCACAGACACAGTAATGTCTTCTCACAGACACAGTAATGTCTTCTCACAGACACAGTAATGTCTTCTCACAGACACAGTAATGTCTTCTCACAGACACAGTAATGTCTTCTCACAGACATAGTAATGTCTTCTCACAGACACAGTAATGTCTACTCACAGACATAGTAATGTCTTCTCACAGACACAGTAATGTCTTCTCACAGACACAGTAATGTCTTCTCACAGACACAGTAATGTCTTCTCACAGACACAGTAATGTCTTCTCACAGACACAGTAATGTCTACTCACAGACACAGTAATGTCTTCTCACAGACACAGTAATGTCTTCTCACAGACACAGTAATGTCTACTCACAGACACAGTAATGTCTTCTCACAGACACAGTAATGTCTTCTCACAGACATAATAATGTCTTCTCACAGACACAGTAATGTCTTCTCACAGACATAATAATGTCTTCTCACAGACATAATAATGTCTTCTCACAGACACAGTAATGTCTTCTCACAGACACAGTAATGTCTTCTCACAGACATAATAATGTCTTCTCACAGACATAGTAATGTCTTCTCACAGACATAGTAATGTCTTCTCACAGACATAGTAATGTCTCCTCACAGACATGGTAATGTCTTCTCACAGACATAGTAACATAGGATAAAAACTAACTTGTTTTTCTGTGAAATTTATGTAAAGAATTTACACCAAGTCATTCGCACTCTCCCGAGTGCTTAGTCAAGGTCAGAGTGTGTGGTTGAGACATGACTCGCATCTCATCAGACATGACTTGCATCTCATCAGACATGACTTGCATCTCATCAGACATGACTTGCATCTCATCAGACATGACTTGCATCACTGGATGGGTTTTATCCAATATATTAAAAATGTATAACCCTTTACGAACTAGTCAAAAGATAAACAATGCGATCCAAAATTCAGAGAGGAGTGTATGCAAGACCAACTTCTCAAGGATTGGATAATGGAGGCGCCAGACGGTGACACAAGACTATACTGTAAGTACTGCAAAACAGATATAAAAATCTAATACGAAGATATGAAGAATCACTCTCAGTGTAAGAAACTTATCAGTGCAAGTCCTTTCAAGATCTATAAACCTCTTACTTCAGTATTTACAATGTTGAGAACTAAGCAACTCACCAAAGCTGGAAGGAGCAATTGCCACCATGAACTTTGTTGTCACTAAGGAGCCCAACCACTTGGGCTGGACGGTAGAGTGACGGTCTCTCTTCATGCAGGTCGGCATTCAATCCTTGCGATCCTGTGGTCCCAGGTTCGATCCCAGGCGCCGGCGAGAAACAACGGGCAGAGTTTCTTTCACCCTATGCCCCTGTTACCTAGAAGTAAAATAGGTAC